ACACCCGAATGTATAGAACCCGCCCCTCAACTAGAAGTGGGTCTTGAACCTCCCTAAGGCTATTTTCCAGCCTAAACAGATATTCGTCGGGTGGACAACCAGCTTTAAAGTACGTTTTATGTTTTTAACATGTATACAAATTTAAACATGCAAAGAAGAGTTATCAATTTTTGTTTCGTAGAAAAGTATGTTTTTTTTTTGCTTGAAAAGGGTTCGTCAAAACTTATATTTTTCTTTTTTTATAGAAATTATCGTCGTCCACGAGTCGATTACACTGTCGGGCGTGAGACTGCCAATCATCTGAGGAGGTTCGAGCCAACTCCTGCTAGACTTATGTCGGTGAAGGATACCATACCATATTATTCATCAAATGCCTGGATCTTGATGTTATAGGATAGGGCATCTTTCTGCTCTATTTTCAGTGTGATTTTATCATCAACACCGTACGTCTCAAAACGACTACTTGCGATCTTGCTTAATGGTTTCACGTATAGCAAAAGGCTATACGTAGACACTTATGCATTGGACATAAACATCGAAAACCGAACTAAGAAGCAAGAAAAGAAAAGAACAAAAATGGGATGAGAGAGAGGAGAGACTGATTCACCTAAAACATCGAAAAGAACGAAGGATGAATCAGCCCTCAAAGTTTGTGACAAAAAGATTCGAAAAGGAAGGCCCGAAAATCCTTGAATCAATCCGAAATGGATATCACTTTCTCACTTTTTTTTTTTAAATTGGACCAACCCGAGTCAAAATGACCTCCTAACGCCAGTATCCAAACCCCAATGACATCTTTAATGAAATTAATTTGTCTCAACCAAATACTTTTCCAAAATAAGATTTAAAATCTCCCAAACTTCAAAAAGAAAATGATCTCGGGAAAACCACCACTAATATTTTCAAACTCATGCCGAAATCAAAATTCTCCAACTTTCGAATTAATAGATCGCCTCATACATCAAATAAACATGAAATCTTTCCACAGAACCAAATAAATGCTCACGACCGGGGTCAATAGAGAAGAGGAAGCAACAACTAAGGCAACCCAAGGCTAAAAGAGGCTCACGGCTAAGGCAATAAAAGGGCCCAGAAAAGAACTGTGAAGGCTCGCGGTTGAGGGCAGCTCAAATCAATTCCCTAAAAGTTTTGATGTGCATAAGAGGCGGCTACAGCAATCGAGGGCACAAAGGGGCTCATGGCTAAGGCAACCAAAAGAACCACCAATGGCTACAATGCCTCCCTGACAAACCTAAGGGGATAACTAAAGTAATTATAATTTTTGGGATGACAAACTTGATCCACCAATAAAATTCAAGCCAATCAAGCTTAGCAAGAAGGACCAAATCACACCCAACAACCTACAATAGGCCTCACGGGTAGGAATAGGAACCAGAGCCAGCAAGACCACCTCCAAACAACTTCTCGGGCAAGGGCTGAACAAAGCAAACACAGCCCCCCAACTAGAGCCAAACCGAGTCCCGTAGAGGCCAAACACGAGAGCTCTTAAAGCTAGGAAAAGAGCTTTAACACCTTAATAAAAGTCAAGCCTCAAGTCTCCACAAAAATCAACATCCCATACTCCTGAAATGAAAACCGAGCACCAACAAAAGCCCAAAGCCGAGCCATTCAAGGCCCTAACTGAGGCAAACCCAAGAAACAACAAGTGAGACTCACGACTAAGGCAAACCCGAGGCACAGGAGCAGAGGAGGCTCACGACTGAGGCAAACCCAAGGAACAACAAGTGGCAAAACCACCTCCAAGCCCTCTCTCGGGTAAGGGCCAAACAAAGCAAACCAAGCCCCCAACTAGTGCCAAACCGAGCCCAGCAAGGCTAAAACAAGACCCAAGCATTGATACAAATCCAGATTTTAATAGAAATTAAAACCCCAACCACTTTTAAACAAATCGAAAGTTAGTAAGAGCTCAAAGTGAGCTTCTTAAAGCTAGCAAAGAGAACTTCAACACCTCAACAAAAGGTCAACGTCTCATGCTCCTGTAATGAAAGCCGAATGCCCACACAACTCCAAAGCCGAGCCATTACAAGCCAAAATCGAATTTAAGAAGCACCAAAACCGAGCCCCATAAGGACCAAAAGCCAAAACAGAGCTGAACAAGAATGACAAAAAAAACCAAAAAAACCAAGTCCAGCAATATGAAGCTTCAGGCTTTCATAAAAATTAAAGTTCTAGCCATTTCATGTCAAAACCAAGCCTCCAAATCCAGCCAAAACCGAGCTCAACAAGAACCAAAAGCCAAAGCCAGAGCTCAACAAGATTAAAACAGACCCAAGCATTGATATAAATTCATACTTCAATAGAAATTAAAATTCAAGCCGTCTGTAGGTAAAATCGAGCCATCCAAAGTAACCTGCATGTCTAAAAATTCCAAACAACCTGCATGTCTAAATATTCCAAGCATATAATGATTTCAACAGATATTTGAACAGGGGTGATGCCTCATGAGGAGCTAAACTGAGCCCCACACATGTATAAAAAAGTAAAATGAATTCTCTAGCATTCATTTTTAAGCAAGAGCAAGTCTTAAGATGCCAAAGCCGAAACCTCCCTAGCATGCATGAAAGACCCAATAAATTCTTCAATATCTCATGCTAAACGAAAGATAAGTGAAAAGTTTTAACTATACAAATCCCAACATGCTTGCAAGAGGAGTAGAAATTATTCCAAAACCATGCTTCAATTATCCAAATTGCTGCCAACATAAATATGATAGGATAAACAAAGAACATGCCATATCTCCACCACTTTAAGCAAATATCCAAGTCTAACTCCTAAAACATGCTCACATTTCATCTTTCATATGCTTTTAGAGTGAATGCTTCGAAAGATATGAAAGTAAAGAGAACTAGCATGGTGTATCATCCAACAGAGCCAAGCTCAAAGGCTCGGCAGAGAGGATACCGAAAGGAAACAGGGTACCGAAGAAGAGGGGAGAAAAAGGGGTACCTCTTTAATACCAAAGTAAAAGCACTGCAACACAAGAATTCACCTCAAAGAAATTCTCTCACAGAAATTCCCTTTCCAATCTCCTCACAGCCAAAATTTTTTACTCTTCTCTTAGAAAACCTTTTCTCAACAACCTTAAAAAATTCAAAAGGAACTATTCTTATAGACAGAGAAGAGAGGGGAAGAGAACGAAGATCACCCCTTGAACCCACGACACTCGAATCGGGCCAAAGAAAAAAAGGACGCGCTCCCTGCTCACAGAAGGCGAAGTCACCGAAGCATCTCAGACCGAGCGGCAAGACAGTGGGGGAAGCATCGGGAAGAAGAGAGAGTCTGTCATTCAAGTGTACCAGGGAACAAGCTTCCCAGAGTCAAACTACCACGAAAAGGAAAATCACAGCTCGGGGAGACTGGCACGGCTTCGGGAAGGAGGGCTGCGGGCAGAAGGTGTCAGGCAAGAACGGATGAGAAGTCAACTTTCTCTCGCGTGGAGGAGGAAGAGCTCGCTCGGCTCGACACCGAGAAAGGGAAAGGCCAGACGCTCGAATGGGAGAAGGGAGGCAGAGCTCTTGTGCGTGAGTTTAGGGATTTGGTGCTTAAAGAGGAAAGGGGGATTTGTTTTTATATAAATTAATATATATATATATATATATATATATATTAAATTATATGCGATTTA